TGTTTCAAGGGAGCGGAGGAGACACTCACAGTGGCGTGTACAGAGAAGGGCAGGATTGGTTGGCTCCCATGATTGGGGAGGAATAAGTAGTGAGGATTCCCAGAGAGAGACTTAAGGCAATAATGTGTCCTTTAATTCCCTTTTGTCCTCATGAGAATAAGGTCTGCTCATGACATAGGCATCCCTAGATCAGGAGAGACCTGCCCAGGTGGCTGAGGGATCTGCCTGGCCTAGTGCTAGGGCTTTCTGAGTCCTGAAGACAGCAGAAGATCTGAGAGGAGAACCACTACCACTTACCCTAAATTGGTCAGGTGGTGTTTGAAGGCCAGTAATGGCAAGAAGCAGAAAGCTTCTGCAAAGTGGGGCAGTCACGGATCAAGCCCGTGGAGGAGTGAAAAGAATTAGGCCAGTCTAGCACATCCTAGGTGAGAGGGACAGATTATTACATATAGAGGAGAGACAGAAGCCAATTTTGCAGCGTTTCCAGAGAATCTCAATATGGAATCAGGGCAAACTGCAAGGAGGTAGAGAAAAAGAAAGGGAATAAGGGTTTGTTTTCTCCTGGCAGATGCCCCTTTTGGGGTTTTGGCACCTGAAATGTAAGGTCAGCGAGGAAGGGCAGAACCCAGTCAGGCCAAGAAAGTTTATTAAGGAGAAGCTGCCAGGTTGGCTCTAAAGCAGAAACCAGGCCCCAGTGGAGTTTTTTATTGTCTTAAAAGGAAATTGGGGAGTTAGGATGTTTGCAGCTGCTTGATGCCAGGTAAGAGAGCTGGTTAGGAGTCGAAGATAGTTATACCTGGGAAAGGGAGATGAATTAGTTTTGCAGCTCTAACAGATAAAACACAGTTGCAGTTGCTGCTTTGATCATTACTGTGGCTATTCTGGGGAAAGGGAGGGAGAGCAGCTCCAGCCCTGACACCACTAACCCACTAGAGTTCCCTAATAATCCAACTGAAAGAGATTTTATCTGCGTATTCATTCTTGAAACTTTTTTTTTTTCTTAATCTGCCTTCCCATACATTATCAACACACCTGTGAAACAGATCTGTGTCTGTTGCTGGCTAAAAGTAGCGGCTCAGAGAAGGCACGGCCAGAATTTATAGAGAACCAGTTGCTTGAATTCTGGTTTTTCAAAACGGAGGGTTGAAAGTTGGTGGAAACAGAAAGGGAAAGGTTTTGAGACATGGATTCGAAGCTGGAAAGTTTCTATCATGTTAGGGCTGGGTGGTCCCGGCCTCACCCGCGGCTGGAATAAGTGGTGGTTTTGTCTACACTGCATGTCCCTGCGCAGAATCCCTACCCCGCTTACGCCCCTGGGGCAGGGAGGGCAGCCAGGTCAGAGCCTTAGGGGACCGGGGAAGCTGTTGCGGCCGGTGCGGGTCGCACAGGCTTGCGTCAAATGGCTTACGTAATGTTCCGGCGCGGCCTACTTGGTTGGGCATGCGCACAGTCTGCTCCGCCTCTCCTGATCTGGCCCTTTGGGGGCGGGGCAGTGACCGCAACAGCCAATGGGATGTGCCCACGCGGGGCCGTGCCCCCGGTCGCCCCGCCCCGCTACCCGCTGTCCGAAGTCCAGAGGCGCCGGCTGAGAGGTAAGTTGTTTGCTGGGCCCCACGCTTGCGTCACAGCAGGCTAGAGTGGCCGGAGGGGGCCAGGCCGCGTCTCTATAGGCGCTGAATGGCGAAGGGCTGCGGGCGGTGTGTCCATCTGGGGAGGGTGGAAACTGGTGAGTGGGACCTTGAAGGCTATGGGACTCCTAGGTCAGCGCTTTCGCTGGGGAAGAGCCTGTAAGAGGGGTCAGAGGAATGAATAGAAAGGCAGGAGGCCAGCACCTCCAAGGGAAAGGCTAGGTTCAGAGGACTGTCATCTAGGACGGAACCGTCCTTGTCGAAGCCATGATCAACTCACTTTCCCTTGGAGTCAAGTAGGTAGAAACGGTGCTCAGAAAGCGCTTTCTTGATTTGCCGGGGAAAATACTGTTACATTGCTGCAGTCACGTGCTCCACTCTAGCTCCTGCTGCAGATGACCCCAACCCACCACACATACCCCTAGCTACACTCCACACCCCAGCTTAACAGGCCCCTAACCACATAGGCTCCCTCCCAATTCCTGTCCACACAGTCACTCTGACACACAGACCTGCCCCCATTTCAGCGGTCTGTACGCTCTGCCACTCAGAGTCCCCTCCACTGCGCAACTCCCCCACCCCTTGCCACATAGGCTCCAGGCTACACAGTCCTCCCCAAGACCCTAACTGGGTTGTGGGAGGGATCTCTGGACCGCATATTCACACCCTTCCCTGGCTGCAGTAGTTCCCACATAGCTGCAGCCCACCTCCCCCCTGTGCAGTCAACCCGCTCCCAGACTGCAGACCAAGGAGGTCTTTGCCGTGGCCACGCCATGCGCCACCTCACATGCCACCGCCCCAGACCCCTTGGCCACAGAGATAGGCCGACCCCACTGCACAGGTTTCTCCCCACCTTGCTTCAGATGTGCCCCAACCCCCAGTCCGTTTGTGGCCGTCTGCCCTAGCTCCTAGCCGTAAGCTACACACACACACACACACACACACACACACACGCGCGCGCGCGCTTAGAGCTCGGCAGACATTTTTTTTGGGGGGTGGGCGTACTGGAAGGACGGCCCGGGATTGCAGCCAAGTTTTATATTTTCACACATTATATTGTGTTTCTTGCTTCAGATGGCCTTGCTCAAGCAAGCCTCTTAGGTGGTGTTTATATTATCAGAGGAAGTCCTAGTTTTCCATGTTTTTCTTGGTTTGGAGGTTCCTGCAGAGCCATCCAGAATTTCAGGTACTGCTGGAGAAAGGCATATTTTTAAGAAAAGACTAAGTTTGCTTTAGACACTCAAGTTTGAGGTGGCAACTAAGAAGGTCAAGGTAGACGTTAAAAGGGAAGGAGGCCTGGGACTCCGAGAACAGAAGAGTGCTGAGTGTGAGGTGGGAAGTGACAAGAGTTCTCAAGACCAGAGCTCAGACAATGGGGGAACAGAGGTTGAGCTAGTTACAAAAGATGTGACATCAGAGGCTTGTAATGTTCCTGTTGCAAGGAAGGAAATGGTGCAGAAAGCAGGGGAAGAAAAGGAAGAGGAAAATGAAGATAAAAAGAAGAGTAACTTAAGGTGCACCACCTGTGAGAAGGCGTTTCTGTATGAGAAGAGTTTCCTGAAGCACATCAGGCACCACCATGGTGCTGTTGCTGCCCAGGTCATTTATCGCTGTGACACCTGCAGCCAGACCTTTGCTAACCGCTGCAACCTTAAGAGTCTAAAAGTATTATATTTTAGGACATTATTTTTATCGTAGGAGCATGCAATGAGGGTTGTAGAGTGGATTATATTTGGGGCTAGGGGGTGGGGTTTGGGGAGGTGCGGGGGGGGGGATTGTGTACCAATGAGGGAGTTTTTCTTTTGCTTTTCAAGGAGAGGAGCAAATGGGGGGGGAGGGGTTTGTGCGGGGAGAAGGGTGCAACAATGAATGAATGGAATCCCAAAATCTCTGTAGATGTTCATTGAAATGAAAAATAAACAACCTAAATTTAAAAAAAAAAAAAAGAAACACACAGTATTAAGGAAAACTTCAGTATTTCAAACCCTTCACTATCTGCCAGACATGAAGAAAACCCCAAGTATGGTGTTTTATACCCACAGTCTGGATGTAATTGATTTACTTTCATTGAAATCATTCATCTATCAGGGCTGAAAACATAAATGTCAAAGCAGCCATAATATATTTGCACCAATAAAGCCATCGGTTATGCTTTCATACCAAAAAAAAAAAAAAAAAAGAGTGTGTGTGTGAGAGAGAGAGACAGAGTCAGAGATATATTAAAGCGTTAGGAACCAATAGTAAACATAGAGGAGAAAGAGTCAAGAGCAGAATGCTGGGACTGATTATTGAGGAGAAAGCACCTATTCTAGAAATTTGAATTAAAAATGGAACCCTCAAAGCAAAAGAAATGACCCAAGATTGTGAATAGCCAGGGATAAGACTTCACAGGGGTAAGGGTTGATGGAAATAAGATTTGCATTGCCTGCTGCTGGAAAAAGCTTAGCTCTAGTGCCTGAAAGGAAAGATCAGCTGTTTGAATGCAGTAGCTTCTTTGGCAGGAGAAAGATGGGCAGCCTGCCCCCTTTAAGATTTACAGCTGTGGAAATAAAAAGTGAGCTGCATGTCTCATATGTGAAAAAAATAAAAGGAATAAAGGGTAAGGTGACAAGGTTGAGGGAAGGGCATATTGAACCATTCTGAAGTCAGAAGGATCCATAAGGTCTAGGTTCAAGTCCCAGTATAACCATTTCCTGTTAATCTTGTTCTTAACTTGTGGAGTAAGATATTAACAGCACCAGTGTCTGGTGCATGGGCCACCATTATCAAACAGCTACCAAATACTGGCACTACCACGAGCATTTTTGCATGCACTCATTGTTACGGAGGAGGAGGAAACAGGTCCAGGAGATACTTGTTTAAGGTAACACAGCTTGTAAAAAACTGTGGAACTTTACATTTAGAAGTAGTGGGTACGGTGATGTGCACTGATCTGGACTACTTTACTTGGAAGGCAGAATTAGTTCTCTGAAGTTTGCTCCTACGTAATGGCAGTAGTGTCTTAATTACCTGGTTTTTGACAAAAGAAATGGGGATTACTGTTGCCGTATTTCTATTAGAATATTGAGATCTTTGACTGCAATGATTTCACGGAGGATCATGCTTTTTGTTATCCTACAGAGGAATCTTGGTAGTATTTTTTTCCATGTAGATATAAAATTATATCTGGCATTTATCTTCAGGATATATTGCTAAGAAGTGAAATGTGATTTGAATTTTTACATGAAAGAAGTCAGGTTGGCAAGCAGTGTGTGGGTCTATGGTAATCCTCTGAAGAGCTGAAATAATCCTCATTATTTTTATTTTTCTTCAGTGCTCAGGCATAAAATGATTTTCACTTTGTCTTCAAAGCTGATTTTAGGACGAAGAACGATGGAAAGTGGTGCAGTTTTACTGGAATCTAAATCTTCTCCATTTAACCTTTTGAGTGAAATGCACCAGTTGCGCCTCCTGGGGCACCTCTGCGATGTGACTGTCAGTGTGGAATATCAGGGTGTCCGGAAAGAGTTCATGGCTCACAAAGCAGTGCTGGCAGCCACCAGCAAGTTTTTTAAGGAAATGTTCCTTAATGAGAAAACTGTGGATGGCACAAGGACTAACGTCTACTTAAATGAAGTGCAGGTTGTTGACTTTGCTTCATTTCTTGAGTTTGTCTACACTGCAAAGGTACAGGTGGAAGAAGATCGGGTGCAGCGAATGTTGGAAATGGCAGAAAAGCTAAAATGCTTGGACTTATCAGAAACTTGCTTTCAGTTAAAGAAACAGATGTTAGAATCAGTACTTCTGGAATTGCAGAATTTCTCTGAGTCTCAGGAGGCAAAAGTGAGCAGTGGCTCCCAAGTCAGTGCTGCTCCTGACTCTAGGACAGATGCAGGTCTGGATGGCCATCATTCCAGTGGCCTTTTGTATTCTTCAGAATACCCAGTAGAACAAATCAACAGTGACATACTACCAGATATGCCACCAAAGAAATCCAAAGAGAAACTAGACAAGAAAAAAGATGTAATTAAGCCTCCTTACCCCAAAATCAGAAGAGCTAGTGGGAGACTAGCTGGAAGGAAAGTATTTGTGGAAATCCCTAAAAAGAAATACACAAGAAGACTCCGAGAACAGAAGAGTGCTGAGTGTGAGGTGGGAAGTGACAAGAGTTCTCAAGACCAGAGCTCAGACAATGGGGGAACAGAAGTTGAGCTAGTTACAAAAGATGTGAAATCAGAGGCTTGTAATGTTCGTGCTGCAAGGAAGGAAATGGTGCAGAAAGCAGGGGAAGAAAAGGAAGAGGAAAATGAAGATAAAAAGAAGAGTAACTTCAGGTGCACCACCTGTGAGAAGGCGTTTCTGTATGAGAAGAGCTTCCTGAAGCACATCAGGCACCACCATGGTGCTGCTGCTGCCCAGGTCATTTACCGCTGTGACACCTGCAGTCAGACCTTTGCTAACCGCTGCAACCTTAAGAGCCACCAACGCCATGTGCACAGCAGTGAGCGCCACTTTCCATGTGAGCTTTGTGGGAAGAAGTTCAAAAGGAAGAAGGACGTCAAAAGGCATGTCCTGCAGGTCCACGAGGGTGGTGGGGCACGGCACCAGTGCCAGCAGTGTGGCAAGGCCTTGAGCTCCAAGACTGCTTTGCGTCTGCATGAGCGCACACACACAGGTGACAAGCCCTACAGCTGCACCGAGTGCAAGGCCAAGTTCTCTCAGCCATCTGCACTGAAGACACACATGAGGTAGGGGCGGGGCACGGGCCCTGTCAGGGAAAGATTTTTTCAGAATGTGACTTGTTCACTGGAATTTTCTTCAAATGATTGAGAAATTGATTGAAGTTGTAGTAAGATTTGGAGACTATAGCTCTAGATTATTCACATCTTTTCCCCTTTAGATAATTTTGAGACATCTTTGGATTCTCTTTCTGGTTAGAAAGTTATAAAAATTGCTTTTTTTTATTCTCTTTGTTGTTGTTGGGTGCTGTCAAATCAGATCTGACTTGCACAGGAGGCGATTGCCCTCCTTTTCCAGCGGAGCATCTGGTGGATTCAAACCTCATGCCTTTAGATTACAGCACAGTTTCTTGCCACTAGGCCACCAGAGCTTCCTCAGAATTGCTCTTTAATATTTTGAAACCTCACACTATTTCTGTCGGCTTTAAAACAAGGGAGACCTTCCTTCTGTCTTTGTTTCCACGTTAGTAACACACAGAACTGACCTTTCTGTTCCTCCCCATTACTGCCGAGAAGGCTGGGTCACTGAAAGCTGCCTTGACTTCCCCTGCAGGCAGGGGTTCCACATCATCAGGATCCTGTGGTGGTTAGTGTACTCTCCACATTGGAGGATTTGGAGCTGAAGCCTTTATTTCTCTTGTGCTGCCTCTTTATTTAGAACTTAGATACTGTGATTATCTGGGTCCAGTGAGTCCATCATTGAAAGAACATTTAGGCATATGCAGTTCCCAAGAAGCTGCTTTGGCCTTATGTTTTAGCTCAAAGGGCTTGGAAAGTATAGTTTGAATTGCAGAATGAGGACAGACTGTATTTTCTATTAACTTGTTTCTGAATTACATGTGGGTGGCATTCAGTTTTCATATATGTTTCCTTACAGTTCTCAGTGTTTATACCTGAAACCTAGGCAGGCAGTTGTTTTCTATTTGATTCTGGATTTGCCTCTGAGCTGGTCTTTAGTGTTCATCATCTTTTACTCTCTAAGTTTAAAGTAGTTGAGTTAGAAAGTGCTCAGTATATCCTGGTTGAATGCTACTTCACAGTTGTTGTTAGGTGCTATAAAGTCAAGAGCCTATGAACAGCAACTCTCAACCCTGCTCTATCCTGCACATCCTTATCATCCCAACATACTTCATGAGCACATTGCCATAGTCACTGTATCAAGTAATAAAAATTCTTACACACATTCCTCAGAAACCAGGCTTCTTTAGTGTTTTCAGAGTATTTCTCTCAAGATTGGTCATGTGCTGTCAAGGTGGAATCAACTCATAGCTGATCCTCGAGTGGGTTTTCAGATGCTTTAAATGACCTGGGAAGAGATTGCCCATCTTTCTCTGTCACAGCAGATGTTGGATTCACCAGCACAACTCTTTACCCATTAGGCCACCAGAGCTCCCTAGATTGGTTACAAAACTAGGAACCAGCAAACATTTTGATGTGTGGTAGCACATTTTGTCAGCAATAGCTAAGAGTTAAGTCAAAACATGAGCAATCTCCTCTGCTTTTAAATAACCACTGGAGGGTCAGTTATGGGTTTGTTCCATCTTGACAGTGTATGTAATAGCAACAAAGTTTCTAAGATGATTGTTTTGAGTGAGGAATTTTAGACAATATTAATGTTTTTGAAAAATCTGCAACAGCATTGTTTCTATCTGCACACACCTTATGTTTGGGAAGTAGGTGTGCATGAGTACTTGGCATGTCCTGGGGAAGTGCATCATCTGTAGGTCTTGTGTGCAGAAGTGGATCTTGTTTTGGGACGGAGACTATGAGCCTCTTTCATTTGTGTCATTCTTATTATGCCTCTTGGAATAAACTATTTGTCAGGCTAGAATGGAAATTGTATTGCTAAGTGAGGTTTGAAATATATCCTAAGTTATCATCTGAATGTTGTACTTTCAGAATTCATACAGGGGAAAAACCTTTTGTCTGTGATGAATGTGGTGCAAGATTCACTCAGAACCACATGCTGATTTATCATAAAAGGTGTCACACAGGTAAATACTCATGCTGTTGTGATTGAATGTCTTTCTTTGCTCTGGAAAGAAACTGACTTAGAGCTAGTATTGTGGTAATGGCCTTTATACCACGGAACAGTATGAATCTGCATTATGACCTTTTTGGACATTATTTTAGGTTACTTTATCAAGAGGTATAAAATAGTTCCTACTCGTTTAGTCAGAAATTACCTTTTCAGGAATTTAAAGAAATTACCTGTAATACGAGAAAAGCCATTTTCTTACTATTTTTAATGACAAAGAATTAAGAACAACCTAATTATCCAACCATGAGGAACTGGTTCAGTAAATTCTTGTAACTCCACCACCAATTTATGGACCAAATGTTTGGAATAATGGTTCTGAATTGTATGAAAAACCACCTGTGCTAGAATGTTGAAATAAAATGTACAGTTATGTAGACAGCTATCTTAAAAAAATGTACACATAGAAGACTAAAAGAAAGCACAAGGTTATTAGTGTATTAAAGTAGTGTGGTCTTCTTGTTTCTGTTTTTCATTATTTTGGTGATAGGGTTTTATGGAAGGGGAAAACTTGGCTTTATTCTGATTTCAGCATCATTACGCTGAGGTTCAGAACAGAAGTATACCAAGCCCAATGTGTGCTGCGGTTATAGTACTAATAAAGCTCTTCTTCCTTTGTTTATGCCCTTTACTTCTAAGCACTATCACATGTGCCTTAAGTTCAAATGCAGATGGGATAGAGATGAACTATTTGTCAGCTTGGATACTAGGCTGTACTGCAAAATGAGAATAATTTGGGTGGGGGTATGGCCAGATAACATGGAAAGATGAAGTCAGAATTGGTCATTTGATGAGACTATTGTTAGATTTGTTGTATTAAAATAGTATTTGTACTTTTATGTTTGTGAAATTAATGGTATGTCTAGTAATTAGATAAGATTTGTGGGACTAAAGGATTCAAACTTCAAAAAATGAGATGGTGTTAAACTCTTTTTTCTAGTCAGGTTGTTATGGTAGTTATGCATAGATTTCCATTGTGAACTTCCTCTCCTTCCAGAGAGGTTTTTGTCCTGATAAAGATCCACAGAAATGCTACTATGAAAATACACTCAACATTTCCACCAAAAATTAATACTTTCTTGTTTGGAATTTATAAAATGGTAAACTGATGGAATCCAAGTGTAGTGAAATCTTTCTTGGTATTTTCAAGGATAAGTAGCATTACTGAGTGTTTTATCATTGTAGCCTACTGAAGAACCAATAGAGGTTGTGTTCAAAGTGTGGACCTACCATTCACTTAGGTTTTCAGTGTCTGTGCAATTTCCAACTTTTTATTTTGTTTTCTCATGTAGGTGAAAGACCTTTTATGTGTGAAACATGTGGCAAGAGTTTTGCTTCTAAGGAGTACTTAAAACATCACAATAGAATCCATACTGGATCCAAACCCTTTAAATGTGAAGTTTGTTTCAGGACTTTTGCCCAGCGGAATTCACTTTACCAGCATATTAAAGTCCATACAGGTATGACTGGAATGTCACCAAAGACACAAGTTCAGTTTATGAAAAAATATCCAAAAGTTCTTTTTTTTGTTTTTGTTTATTATATACTAGTTTATTTACAAAATTCAAATACATTGTTTTCCAGGCCAGATTCTTCCAATTTCCCTCACCCCTCCATCAAATTGTACAACCCATGATTAATCAATGCCCTCGCCATGCAAATCCTCATCCCTCTGCTCCCCCTTTCCCTTGGATCCTCATACTCATTCTACAATAATGGTTTTATACAGTATTTGTCCTTGTGGGACTGAGATCGTTCACACAGCATAATGCTCTCCAGTCCCTCCCAAGTTAGATAATAATGGACAAAATCATTGTTCCTGTGTGCTGCGAAATATTCCACTGTGTGCATGTATAATTTCTCAGTCCATTTGATTGTGGTTGGACATCTCGGCTGTTTCAATATTCTTGTGAAGGTGAATAACATTGCTATGAACATTGGTGTACAAGTCTCCATTTTATTAGAAGTTCTTGAAGCTACTTGAATGTTATTTGGAATTATACTAGGAGAAAATTTTGGCCAAAAAGAGCATTTTTATTTTCACTTTGGAAGTTCATTTCTGACTTTGAGAAGTAGAACCACTTACATGTGCAAATGAAAGACAACAACATTCTTTGGCTATTTGGAGGGGTTTTTTGAGGACAGACAATACACAGAGGGTATGAATGTGGTTAATGAACAGTTTGATGATTTTTTTTTTTAGGTTAGAATAAGGGATAGTGATCTATAGGTGTCAACATATGTTGTTTTTAGGGGCTGTCGAAGTCCAGTATGACTCATAGTGATCCTATGAACAAATGATCTGAACCCTGTTCTAGCATGTGCCATCCTTACACTTCCTGACACACAAGAGCCCACTGCAGCAGTCGCCATATCAGTCCACCGGGTCAAGGGTCTTCCTCTTCTTCGCTGACTCTCCACCCTTCCTAGCATCTTTTCCTTATGTGAGGTGAAGCATCTTCATTCTTTCCTCCAAAGAACATTCCGACTACACCCTCTCCAAGACATAATTTGTTTATTCTTTTGGCCATCCATGAGATGTTCATTGCTGTTCTCCAACATAGCAGCTCAAAAGCATTAGGTCATCTGTCATCCTTATTCACTGTCCAGCTCTCAGATGCACAGCAAATGACTGGAAAGACTATAGGTTGAATCAGAACTAACATCATTACTCCTCAATAATTTGGAAAGGTACCTATCTGCAGACTTTCCCAGTGCAGTGTGTCTCCTTATTTCCTGATGGCTGGTACTAAGGGTGTTAATTGTGGATCCAAACAAGATGAAGGTGTTGATAGTTTCAGTCTTTTCTCCATCCATCATGGTGTTGCCTGTTAATCCAGTATGTTATATATACATACATATATGTAGATTGAGTTACCAAAGGCCTTGTAATTACAATTATTCTATTACTGTAGATAATTACTGTAGATCTGTTACCAGCTAGAAGTATGGATTTGCCCTAATGATCTTGGTATATGTAGAGATCACAAATGTGAATCTGTTCTCAAATAGCATGCCTTAGATGGAAAACTGAAGTTGAAATTTTATTAATGGTTTGCATTCAGAATTAAATACATCAGACTACAGAGACCAACTGGGTAGTTTTTTTCTTTTCCTGTCTCAGGGGAGCGTCCTTATTGTTGTGATCAGTGTGGTAAACAGTTCACGCAACTCAACGCTCTCCAACGCCACCATCGAATTCACACAGGAGAGAAGCCATTCATGTGTAATGCGTGTGGGCGGACATTCACTGACAAGTCCACTCTCCGGAGGCACACCTCTGTAAGCAAGTAACCAAAAAGCAAACCCACTGCCTTCAAGTTGATGCTGGCTCATGGGGAACCTTCAAAGGGTTTCCAAGGTTTTCTTCTAGTTTTTATGGGAGGAGAATCCCCATCTTTCTCCCATGGAGTGGCTGGTAGATGTGAACTATTTTCTTATAGGGTTAGTGGCCCAGCATGTAACACACTGGCAGCAGTAGCTCACTTGAAAAGGAAAAACCTGCTGGTATTTAGATACTCAGAACCATAAACAGAAATGCCTTTGTTACCATCCCATACCATTCAGAGAAGACAACAAGTATTTCTCCTAGGATTTTTCTCAACTGCAAAGCCATTAAGAGGATAAGCAAAGAAAAGAATTAAGTCTCAAGACCCAGAGGAAAGCACTGTTCATAAGTATTTCTCGCAGTGTTGATGGTGTGGAAAGGCATTAGGCAGTGAAGAGAGGGGATTTTGCTGCAGTTAAAACCAAGTTTAAGTTAGAAGCAATCATTCTGCTTAGGTTTTTTTTGTTTTTTGTTTTTTTTAAAAGGTACTTTTAAAAAGAAGTATCTATGAATTGGGGGATATACTTGACACATTCAGTGACTTGTGTTTTGTGTTTGATTTGTAGATACATGATAAGAATACTCCTTGGAAGTCTTTCCTTGTTATTGTAGATGGCTCACCCAAGAATGAAGAGCACAAGACTGAGCAGCCTGATGAAGAATATACATCATCCAAACTTTCAGATACATTGATGTCTTTTGCAGAAAATGGCCATTTTCCTAACCTGACACCAGCCCAGAACAGCCCAGCTGTACATGAGAAAAGCTTGGCAGACACAGCTTGCAAGTCAGATGATCTCAGGGTGTCCCAAGACTCCGTTCTTGCCACCACTATTGGTGACCTTAGTGAACTGACTCCACACACAGATGTGATACCCTCACAGCTTCACTCTCTGGCCAGCATGGAATAAGAGCTTAATGTTCCTCATCAGACAGGTTTCATCTTGCACATATTTGATTGTGTGACTGATGTACCCAAGATGATAACAGGGGGTAAGAAAGGGTTGTCTGTGTACAGAGGTGATGTACACCAAGATTGACTTCTGCAGATGTCCTGATAAGTTGCAGGCCCTTATGAAGGCTTTTTTTTAAAGCTTTCCCTTAAAAATCCTGGTCCACATGATCTCAGCTACACCTTATCAACAAACAAAGCAATTTACATACCCTCACATGATTCTAGGGTAGGTTGTGTGCATTACTCACCCAAATATTCGGTTAAATAGTTAAGTTTAGAAAACTGCTTGATTTAATTGTATAGGGCATCCAATGCATGAAATTGCTATCAGCAGTCTCTCAGATCTCTTACTCCGACTTATACTTTATGTCTGTTACTTCCTCTGATACTTTTTTTAAAACAAATTTTTCCAAGGCTTCTCCCTCTTCTTTTTACTGTGTTTTGAATAAAAGCCTTTTTTTTTCTTTCTTTTTTTCCCCACAAAGTCCATCTTTGATGACATCAGATGGCTGTTAAGCTCGCTCGTATGGCTCCCTGCATGTCCCCTGACCCCAGGAAAGTCCAGTGGGTTCAGGGAACAGGAACTACCCCCCACCCCGCCCTGCCTGGAAAGCTACCTGGATGAGCCCTCTTGCAGGGTGTCTGAGTAGGCAGCACCATACAGGGTATAAAGAAGGCCATTATCTTTTAGTGTTTCCTCATTTGTGGCATTGAGACAAATCAGCTGCACTGGCAACTCTATTGGGACTGGAAAAATTAATTTCCTTCCTATTTATAGGCACTGGAAAAGGAACAGGCAAATTGAGTATGTGTTAAACAGCTCAATCTTACCTTTACTCACATCATACATAGAGCTAGGAAATTTGTTACAGAGTAAGCCTTTGCAGTGAGATGTGGCTATGTAATTTCATTCCTAATAGGTAAAAACTGTCCTACCAAAGATTCCATCAGAATAACTGTTTTTACAGATATGTAGAAAATTAATCAAGGGACTAATTTAGGAATACTTGAATATAGTTATTTTATTAGCAAATAATAAAATGAAGTGGTTAATGGCATGGCATAGAATATTGTTATTTTTGCCAGGTTTTTCTGATTTAATTTCTGTAATTTGCAGAGACCCAGACTTTATCAATTCTACATTAAAAGATTGCAACATGCAAGTAATTGCTACGTATTTATATCCATGGGAGCTTGCAAGAATGCAGCAGAAGGGACCAAAAGCCTTCACATATTCCTCTTCCATTATACTTTAAACAGTGATTGTGAAGAACCAATAACTTTTAACTTTTATCTTAAATATGCTGGTTGTCTCCTGCTGAACATACTGCTCAAAATTAATTCACAATGAAAATGTAATTCCAGTGTATTTTTTAAGCCTAATTTTTGGTTCTGGTATTTTGCCATGTTTGTGTGTTTGTAAATGCCTCAGTTCACACATAATCTAAAACAAAAACCAAAACCTAAAAGGAGTACTTTTGCTAATTATTTCCCTCTTTATATTTTAATTTATTGAACTTACTGTGAAAACAATTATTTACTAAGAGGAAGCTCCTTTACCCTTCAGTTTTAGAATGAAGACTTAACTAACTGCACTATGCCAAAAGCTAATGAGGAAAGACCTTTTTTCCTAATGCATTTTTTCTTTTAACTTGTAAGCTGTTTCAGGCACTGGGAGCATTTTCACAGTTGCTCTTAGAGATAGCCAAAACCCACTACTATCAAGCTGATTGTGACTGTGATCTTCCACTGGGTTCACAAAGCTGTAAATAGTACTGAAAGCAGATTGCAGCATTCTTCTCTTGTGGAGAAGAAGCTGGTGGATTTGAAACACCAAGCTGAACATGTTACCCACTACATGCAACTAGGGCTTTCCAAGTATTTAAAATTCAGTTCTGATGTTATATTATAGAACAAAGTAGAACAAATGATAGTGACACCACCTTTTTATTCTCTGGATAATGAACTTGCCCAACCGATGTACTGTTTCCTAGGATAAAGTCCTCTTGATGAGAAGGAATTTAAATAATAGATTATTTTGTTATCTCCTGGGAGAAGTTTTGTCTTGAATCAATTTCTTTAAAATTTCTACAAAAGTCTTAATAAATTTTGTTTTATACAAATAAGTTTTGTAGTTCTACTTGTATTACTAGAATTTAGTGTCTGTTGAAAGAAAATTCTTAACTAAGCAAGTATTTCATTGATTACTCAAAGGCATTTGACTGTGTGGATCATAACAAACTGTAGCTGACTCAGAAGAATGGGAATCCCAGGACACTTGATCATGTTAATGTGAAACCTATACTTGATCAAGATGCAGTCGTCAGAACAGAGCAGGAAAACACTGCATGGTTCAAAATTGGGAAAGGTGTACGCCAGGGATGTGTCCTATCTCGATACCTTTTCAACCCGTATGCAAGAGGCTGGGCTCTGAGTGTGGCGTCAGGATTGGTGGAAGATCTATTCACAGTCTGCATTATGCAGATGACACAACCTTGCTTGCTGAAACTGAGGAGAGCCTGAAATGCTTGCTGCAGAGGGTCAAGGACTGCAGCCTTCAGTATGGATTGAGGAGGCTCAATGTCAAGAAGACGAAGATTCTCACCACTGGACCAACTGACAGCATCAGGATGGATGGTGAAGAGATTGAGATTGTTCACAGCTTTAGTTTCCTTGGCTCCACGGTCAACACTCTTGGCACCAGTAGCCAGGAAATATTTTTTAAAAAAATTATGATGGGAAAGTCTGCTGTTAGGGACCTCTTTAAAGTACTGAAGAGCAATGGTGTTACTCTGGAGACTAAGGTGTGTCTGATACAGGCTATGGTCTTTGTAATCACTTGTTATGCATCAGAGAGTTGGGCAATGACTAGGAAGGAGGAGAATTGATGCCTTTGAGCTGTGGTGCTGGAGAAGAATATTGAATGTACCACAGACTGCCAAGAAACAGATTCATTCTGGAGAGGGCTAAACCAGGCTGCTCCTTGGAGGCAAGGATTCTGGGGCTTCGTCTGACATACTTTGGACATGTTGTAAGGAAGGACAGGTCCTTGGAGAGGGACATCATGCTTGGGAGGGTGGAGGGAAAGCCCTCTATGAGGTGGATTGATTCAGTGACTGGGGTAATGAGGATGGGTGTGTCAGAGGCAGTGCGATTGGCACAAGGTAGAGCAGCGTTTAAGGCTGTTGTACATAGGGTCACTGTGAGTAGCGACTTGATGACATTTAACAACAAGCAAGTATAATTTGTTCAAGTATATAGTGAAATTTAAAAAATCAGGCCCTATTGGTTTTATTTAGTATAATCTTTATTTTAAAAGAGAGCTCTGTTAGCCTAATGGGTAAGGAGTTAGTTGCACTATCAACCCAAGTCAGGTGAGTGTAATCCACTAGCTGCCCTTTTTCCTTGAGAGAAAGATAGGCAGTCTCTTCCCAAGTGATGTAGAGCCTCTGAAAATCCACTGGAGGGTCACCTGTGAGTCAACTCTGCCTCAACAGCCTTCATAGTTTTAAAATGTGTCTCTTAACTGTCAGGATTACACCTTTTTTCCCTTTAGGAAAAAAGGACTTAGGTGTGAATATGAATAAAACGTTACATCCGCTATACAGAAGTAGTATGTACAGCTTGATGAGACCAAGGTTTACAGTAACGTGCTGCAGTGTTTTTCAAGTATTATTAACGCAAGCATCAAATATACTTCTGTAATTATTCCAGGAGGAATAATTAGGCTGACACTCAGGGACACCACAAATCCCATAGATGACTAGACGAATCTGTGAGCAATCTTCCCCTAGTTCTTTTTCTAAGAGCAGTGGAATTGTTAGCGAGTGTGTCAGTTCCAGATACCAGACAAGGAAGGTGCTGCTTCGCAGAGAATCAAGAAAGGCTGCTTAAAAACTGACTAGGTGGCTTCCAAACTTTTCATGTGAGTCAACTAAATGCCAAAGGATTTTTGATTTAACCAACAATTTTATAGCACAGAATATTTTATGGGGAAAAAACCCAAACCAACCACAAAACTAGACCATATTGTCAAGGGAGATCTTTATTAAATGTAACTTTAACATTTTGCTGAAGGTGATTATTCAAGCTAACAAACAGAGTAAATTAATCATTTACTTTCTACTGTGTCACACTAGAGAGTTCAACATTTTATTTTAAAACAGGTTCTTGCCTGCCTAATCTGATTATTATTCAGGTCATTTAAAAGTAACAATATTTCATTTGGAGGTGGCCATTCCTGCAAAGAGTTGCTTGTCCATGTCCCTTAGCAAGAGTGGATATGAACTGAGAGCTTTCATTTGGGACTGAAGTGGCAGAGATAAGGAAAAGAATCAGTCTGCTCTGCCACCAAGAAACTCTTACCACGCTATTTTTGATATCAAATTATACCATATTTTAAACCACCATAGTGGTGTCTCACTGTTAGGAAACACTGATTCTGAAAAGAGAAATGTAAATGATTAGCTAGTTTGGTCACCACTCAGAGAGCTCTTGTGGTCTAGGCGTAAGTAATTGTGCTGCCAAATCAAAGGCACACAGTTTTAATCTGCTAGCTGCTCTGGGAGAAGAATGGGCAATCTTCTCCCATGTGGTTTACTGCCTCTGAAAACATGGGGTCATCTATGGGCCGGTTCTGATTGGACTAACATCATCTGTCAGTTTGCCAAATTGTAGTGGTTTACGTGCTGTGATGCTGGAAGTAAGGCCAATGGTATTTCAAGAACGGGTTTCTGCAGAGCTTCCAGAGTAAGAAGCAAGACTGGCACTATCCACTTCTGAAATATAGGCCTTCAGAAATCCTATGGATGACAGAACACTGTTGGATATAGTGCCAGAAAAAGAGCCACTGGCACTAAACATTTGGGGAAGAGCTGCCACCTCAAAGTAGTGTCTACCTTCCTGGCATGCATGGAATGAATAAAAGGTTTCACCCTAGAAGGTCATTCATTTGCT